GAAATGTTAAAGTTCCTAAGTACAAGTTTCTTTCAGAGGTTTATAATTTATCAGTTTTGCATATATATTTAGCATTATTATATATTTTTGTTGAATGACCTTTTATAGTTACAGAATGCCTCTGTGTGTTCCACATAGTTGTCTTTGCTGTTGTCTACCCTATTAGATAGTAACCTACTTCAAATTTGTTGATTAGTGTTTGCATGTTAAGTCTTTGCTCTGATTTTACTTTTAAACATTTATTATTATATGGTAAGTGGATTTTTGTTTTGTATAACTAGCAAGTAGTTGGGTCTTTTTTAAGGTTATTCTGTTTTTATTTTTATATAAATTTTTTATTTAAATTAGAAACAAGCTTGTTTTACATAACAATTCCAGTTCCTATACCCTCCTGTCCTCCCCTGTTCTCCCCAACAACCCCTATCCCATCCCCTTTCTACTCCCCAGGGAGGATGAGGCCGTCCATGGGTAATCTTCAAAGTCAGTCATGTCATTTGGAGCAGGGCCCAGGCCCTCCCCCATGTGCCTAGGCTGAGGGAGTGTCCCTCTATCAGCATTTCATTTTAAGATTAAAAAGGAACACTCTAAGGTCTTTTTTTTAAGTATTTATTTATTATGTATACATTGTTCTGTCTATATATATGCCTGCACACTAGCTACCTTTTATATACCTAGTAACCTTACAGGAAGTGCCAGGTGAAAGAGGTTCTATAGGAGCTAATTGAAAGCCTGTGGCAATATTAGATTTAGGGAAATTCAAGGAAGCTATAGTCTCATGTGGCATCCATTCACCATTTGTGAAGCAAATTATAAACACTTGGTCAATTTGTAATAGGATTATCCCCATATATTGGATAGATTTGATTAAAGCTGTCCTAGACCTGAACCACAATTACAATGGAATTCCTGGTTCAAAGAAGAGGCTAAGAATATTGAACAAAAGACTAAAGCAAGAGGTATGGATATGGACCAATATCAAATTATTAGAGAAGGAGATTATGCTGTTTTAGAAAGGCAGTGTCAGTATGATGATCACCTCTTGGTTTTATACCATGCAGCAGCCTTGAATGCTCGGGATAGAATTGGAGAAACAAGAAAGGAAATTGAATCATTTACAAAAGTTATACAGAACCCAAAGAAAGCATTCATGGATTTTGTATAAAAACTGTCATCAGCAGTCAATAGAATGATACCAGACATAGAAGCTAGAAAAATAGTAATTGAAACTGGCTTTGAAAATGCCCAATACAGAAGGATAATTAGACCTTTAAAAGCAAGATCAGCACCTTTGGAGGATTGGATCCAAGATACAACTAATATTGAAGTTCATGGCCATGATGATGATACATGGATAGGAGAGGTGATTTCAAGAGGTTTAAAGAAAAATCAGAATGTCAAATGTTTTAATTGTGGCAAACAGAGTCACTTGAAAAGGGATTGTAAACAGGTCATTTCTAGAAATAATTCTTTTTATAAACATAATTCAAGCAGAATGCCTCTCCCTTCCTGGATTATACAGAAGGTGTGGCAAAGGCAGGCATTGGACTAAGAAATGTAGTTCAATAAGAGATTATCAAGATAATACTTTGCCTTTGGGAAATGCATTGAGGGGCTTATCAAATGCCCCGATGTCAAAGCAGGTTCATACGTTTCCTGCCACCATGGTTGAAACTCCTTCCCAGAACAATTAAATAACCTAATGCCTATTTAAAGAAAACATTGTTCTGGGTGATAGAAGAGCTTTAAAAGCTAAAATAAACATTTCAGGAGAAACCATAAATCAAAATTGATAAAGATTAGATTCGGAACCTCCCCAAAGTTAATGAAATGGTTCAGTGAGTGTTGGCGTTTGCCCCAAGCCTAATGACCCGAATTTGATCCTTAGACCCTACATGGTGGAAGGACAGAAATGACAACCACAAGTTGTTCTCTGACCTCCACATGTGTATCATATCATGCATACATATGCATGTGTGCTCATACACATGTAAATATTTTTAAATTATTGTGATTATTTTTCTGTGTATGTGTGCATGTGAATGCAGTGTCCATAGAGGTCAGAAGGTGGCATCCTCTGAAGCTTGGGTTACAGGCTGCTGTTAGCTACCTAGAATGGATTCTGGAAATCAAAACTGTCCTCTGTAATACCAGTATACACTCTTTTTTTTATCCCCCAGTTTTTTGAGATAGATTTTCTCAGTGTAGCCCTGGCTGTCCTGGAACTTAATCTGTATACAAGGCTGGCCTCAAACTCACTGAGGTCCATCTGCCTCTGCCTCCCAAGTGCTGGGATTAAAGGCATGTGCCACCACCAGCTGGCACAGTACACACTCTTAACCACTGCAGTCTCACATACCCCCAAATTTTAATTCCCTCTATATAAATAGATAACCATATCATACAGTGTTGCTTTTTCCAGTCATCAAAATACAACTTGTAAAATTGAGGAGAATAATCAACTGTATTCTCAGTCACTGTTGAGTTGTCTTTTTTCATTTTTGATATTCTAGATCTTCTTGTCACCTCCTTTCTCTTTGAAGAACTTTCTACATTAGTTTAATGAGAACTGACTGATGACTTTAAATTCATTAGTTTTCCCTTATTTTATATTTATTAATAAAAGATATTTTAACTATGGAATTATGAATTGACAGTTTTGTTTCACCCAATACTTGAAAACTGTGCCTGTTCCCTGGCCTCTTTAGCTTCAGATGAGGAACTTTCTTTTGAATGGGTACTTCTCACAGGTGTCTGTTGCTTTCATCATTGCTATCTTTGTTTTCAGCTTTCACAAACTTTATTTGACTGACTCAACATAGATTGCTTTGGGTTTATTTTGTTTGATCTTTTCTCAACTTCTTACATCTGTAGATCTTCATCTTTCAACAATTTGGGCCATGTCTAGCCATTATGTCTTAAACCATGTTTGTATTTTTATTATACATTTTCTAAAATTTTGCAAATGCATTTGTGTGTATGTGAAAGTGCAGGTGTATATGTGTCTTAGCAAATGCATGTATGTATGTGCTCTGCTACGTACAGCAGGCTAAATGGCCTGAAGCTTCCAGGGGTTCTTTGGTCTCTACCTCCCATCTTGCAATAGGATCAGTAGATTTATAGCTCATGTTACTGTGTTTTTATTCAGCTTTTGCTCAGGTCCTGTGAATTCAAATGCATGTCCTCATACTTATGTGATGAGCACTTCGCCAACCAAGCCATCTCTCCAGTTGGTCAACTATTTTTTTTTTCTTTTTGTATTTTACTGTTTTTCTTACATTTTGAAACACTGATGATTTATTACTGGTTTTTTTTTTCTGACTGTTAAAAACCCCCAAAATTTCACTTTTTGTTTGTGCCTTTAGTGTTTGTTATTCAAACTGAATAAATTCTTTGGGTCTGTCGTCAAATTTTGATTCTTTCTTGTGTCATCTTCATTCTTCTCTTAAGCCATTTAGTATGGTTATGCTTTTGCTTATTTTGATTTTGCACTTGTTTATTAGAAATTTATCACTATGATCCAGCATGTTGATGTATACCTGTAATCTCTGCACTTGAGAAGCCAAAACAGGAAGGCAGTTTGAGGTCACCATTGGCTACATAGTGAGATTCTGAACAAATATGCATAGATATATAAGTGGTATATACATGTAAATGCAATTATATGTGTTAATAAATAGATAAAATTTTCTTTGGACTTATATTTCTATTTCTCTTTCGTTGCAGAGACTTATTTCCACATTTGTGTCAAGAGCATTAATAATTGATTGTTGGAGCACTTAGAATTTCTTTTAAATTTTGTCATGATTATAATATCTAGATCATTACAGTTATCTTTTACTAAGTTAATATTTTCAAAACTCAGGTTATCTAGTAATTTGAAACTATATCTTTAACATTTTATGTATAATGATACTGGATTCTAGTTGTCCTATTTTAGAAGGTTAACAGCCTGTTTGGTTTAGAGTACATTCTGTTTCAATTTTATAGACTTTGGTTCAAGTATTGACTCAGTCTTCAGATCCCTTGCAGGCTCATCTGGCCTTTCCTACTTCTGGGCTTTCTGTCCAGGTTAGGACGTGGGCAGGATTCTACCTGTAGTTCAGTACCCAGAGCTTTTGCTCTCCTAATTCTGGTCAATTTCACAGACATTAGTCATGCCATGCACTAGTTTAAAGAACTGCTTTCTCCAGGTGCCTTCCTCTCCATATCCTCTCTCTCATTAAGAAAGGGTAAGATAATACTTCACTGTTATCCTTTACTTAATTTAGGGTAGAGTGGGGAGGAGAAAGGTGTGTTTTCTTTTCATCTATAAGCAGAGTAGAACAAGAATGGTCAGAAAGAATCATGTGACAGTGCCAGGTCCTTGGGCAGGTAGGGCTGTGGAGGAGCCAGTCCTGCCTTTCCCTCCTTGGGGATGAGTAGGATGGAGAGTATGGAAGACCCTGACACCCCCCCCCCCTCCTAGTTACTGGAGAGAATTGCACTGAGTCTGGAGCTTTGTCAAAGCAGGAGCTCATTTTATTGTTACAGGCATGCACTTATTTAGTGTTAAGAAAGAGAGTGGGGACCTCAGGATGGGGTGAGGTGTAAGGGCCAATAATATTTCATCATGTTAGCAGTAGCTGGGCAGAGGCAGTTTTACTGAGTCGCTCCTATATGGAAGTGATAGGCCAAAGACAGGTCGACAAACTCTAGACAAGCTCAAGAAGTTCCATTAGACCTTGTATACCAGCCTTTTTAGGCCCAACATGACAGAACTACCTATTTCCCAGTCTTCTCTGCCATCTACTCTCAGTATGCATGTATATAGATCCATAAACTTCTCTGAGCCTCAGTTGTTAATAATGTCAGATTGCTAATATCTACCTCATAGACCAAATTTAATTGAAACAATATGCAATGGATTTAGTACAGTACTCAATAATAAGGATTTAGCAAGTGTATCTCCTACTTATATTAGTAATAAGGACAATAATTAAATATCATTCTTATACTTACAGGAAACCCTTCTCTTAAAGACAAAGAGGACCAGTTTGGGAGAACTCCACTTATGTATTGCGTGTTGGCAGACAGATTGGACTGTGCAGATGCTCTTATAAAAGCAGGAGCAGATGTCAATAAAACTGATCATAGCCGGAGAACAGCCCTTCACCTTGCAGCCCAAAAGGTGAGAAGTTCAATAACATTGAAGAGGAGACTGTGGCTGTTTTTTACTTGACTGGTAGAAGTGTGCAATGAACAAATAAATGGTAAAGGCATGGCACACAGGCTTCTGGGCTCCTACAAAAATAATCTATAACTGTGGGTATACGGTCTATAAAAACAAGGTAACTGGGACTGTTGGTGAAGAACAGGTCCATTGATGAAGAGCTTGCCTACAAGCACAAATATTTCCAGAACTTACGTTTAAAAAGTAGAAAACTAGAGACAGGCTGATCTCTGGGACTGACTGGATAGCCAGCCTAAAGTAAGCAGTAAGTTCTGGGCCAATAAAGAACCCCTGTGTCAACAAAATGCAAGGTGGATGGCACCTGAGAAATAACCACCAGGGCTGATTTGCAGCCTCCACACATACAAACATACAGCTGCAAGCACCCTTGCACCTACACACAAAATCCATGTATGGAGAGAAGATAAATGCTAAAATGAAACACAACAGAGCTGCTTGTGGTTGGGCTTATTATCAGAAATGAACATGAATCTTTATGCTTTGCGTGGTTTATTTTCTTCCCTCATGAATATTACTTTTACAATCAAAACCTTCATTCTCTTTAGAAAGCTATGGCATTAGGGCCATAAAGAAATTTATTTTCAGTTTTTTACTGTAATTTTAACTTCTTAAAAATATAAAATTATATTGGCAATACTAGTGGTTTCACATTTTTAAGGTTATTGTAACGGAGTTCAGGGGTTTTTTGTTTTTGTTTTGTTTTTTTTGTTTGTTTGTTTTGTTTTTGTTTTTTGAGATAGGGTCTTACTATGTAGCTCTGGCTGTCCTGGAACTCACCCTTTAAACCAGGCTGACCTCAATATTACAGAGATCTGCCTGTCTCTGCCTTCCAGGTTTTGGGATTAAAGGCGTGGGCCACTACAACAGGTTCAGAGTTCAGATTTTCAGAGTTTCAAAATTTAAGATAAACACAGTAAAACGATAAAACAAGAAGCTACTAAATTAATTCAAAGACTTGCCTAAAAATCATTTTCCATCCACAAAGTTTAGTTTTATAAGACATACTTCTAGTTTATAGTATTTTTTATACTTCATATTTTTAATAAAAAAAAAGCACTGAATATTAGTTAGATCCAGCATAAACTATTAGTGGTATTTTCCATTTAAAAAAATGGCCAGACAGAGCTGATTAATTGAAGGGTTAGAAAAATACCTTTTCACGAGATGAATGCATAAAATGATGCTGTCATTAAGATCTGCTGCTCACTGTGCTGTCATATGCACACATCAGTGAGGTGTGTCAGTTTGCTTCCAGTTACTTCTGAACTGATTTTCATTATAGTAATTTATAAAACAACAATAACAACAACCAAAACACGCCATCATTTTTTAACCTCAGTTTTAACTGCTACTCAAGTATTTATACCCTTTCACATAAGCTTGTCAGCTAACTAAATTATTCACTTGGGAAGGGTAACTACATTTAGCTTATCATAAAAAAATAAGATTGTTCCAATATTAAAAATGTGATGTTCTTTAGACTTCTCATTGTGAGTCACATAAGTATGAAATTCAACTTTTAAAAGTGTAGGTTGGAAGACCCTGATATCAAGTAGATTATTAGGGAGGGGGATAAGGACTTAAGTTGGTGATCTAATACTGTGACTTCTTGGAGAGTAAATATGACCAGCATGGTTGGCAGGGGGCTTGCCTCATCAGTAAAGGTAGCTTTGACAGATGCAACACATTATTTTCTGTTCCTTTTTGTTTCAGTGTTAATTTGGGGTTGTTATTTGTTTGCTTGCTTGTTTTGTGGGAGTTTTTTGTTTGTTTGGTTTCTTTTGGTGGGTGGTGTTGGTTGTGTGCGTGTGTGTGTGTGTGTGTTTGTGTGTGTCTCTGTGTTTTGCTTTGAGACAGAGTCTCAGTGCAGCATACACAGGCTTCAAACTTGTGGCAGTTCACCCATCTCAACTTTCCTAGTGCTGTAATAATTAGAGGTACAAGCCACCACACCAGGCTTCTTATTTTGATACTTTTAAATTTTAAAATTCTTATATGTATTGTGTATACATGCTATGTGAGCATATGTGGAAGTCAGAGTCCATTCTCTCTTTCTACTTTTACCTGTGTCTGAGGATTGAACTTAGATTTGAGGGTCTCTAGCTTGTGCAGCAAATGCTTTTGCCCACTATATTACTTTTCAACCATGATTAAGACAACTTCTAGGAAAAAGAGTTTATTTGAGCTGACAGATCCAGAGGGTTAGAGTCCACAATGGCAAAGTGAAGGCATGGTACCTGGAACAGCAACTGAGAACTCACACCTTGAACCACAAACAGGAAGCAAAAAGAGAAAACTGGGAGTGGCACAAGGCTTCGAAATCTCAGAGCTCACCCCTTGTGACACACATCCTCCAGCAAGGCCACACTTCCTAAACCTCACTAGGTGGCCACCAACTGGGAACCAAGTATTCAGAAATCTGAGTCCAAGGGGACAGGCTCATTCAAACCACCACACCCACTAAGCCGTCATCTTGTTAGTCTTGATTTTTTTAAATTCTGGCTTTTGTTGTGTCAAAGTATAAATAAAATTAAGACTTATCTGTTAGAACTTACGTAATTGATTAAGTATGTTACAAGTTTCATGCTCTTTGAAGAATCTGATGGTTACAACCCTGTTGCTGTTGCTCTTTTTCCATGTCGCCAAGTTACACTACTAGACTTTCCAGAGCAAGAGTGGGAACAATTCTTTAGTATCTTGTTCTGCCTAGTCAGACCTATGTTTGATTTTGTGATTTCAATAAATTACTTTTTATTAATTTTATTTAAATTAAAAACAATCTTATTTACATACCAATCCCAGTTCCTTCTCCCTCTCAGCCTTCCACTTCTCTGCCCACCTCCCCATCCCACTCCCCATCTACTCTACAGAGAGGGAGATGGGAGATCATCAAAGTCTGTCACATCATTTGGGGCAGGACCTAGACCCTCCCCCCTGTATCTAGGCTGAGGAAGTATCACTCCATAGGGAATGGGCTCCAAAAAGCCAGTTCATGCACTAGGGATAAATACTGGTTCCACTGCTGGTGTCATCATAGTCTGCCCAAGCAGACTGACTGACTGACTGACTGACTGACTGACTGACTGACTGACTGACAGACCAGACACGTTCAGGGGCCCTGGTTTGGTCTTATTCAGGTTCTGCAGCTGTCAGTTTGGAGTCCATGAGCTCCCACTTGCTCAGGTCGGCTGTTTCTGTGGGTTTGCTCAGCATGGTCTTGACTCCTCTAATCTTTGTTTTTCTGCAACTAGATTCCAGGAGTTCAGCTTAATGTTTATCTCTGTGAATCTCTGCTTCTGCTTCCATTAGCTATGGGATGAGGGCTCTAGGATGGCATTTCAGGTAGTTATCAATCTCATTATAGGGGAAGGGCACTTAAGGTAGCCTCTCCATTATTGCTTAGATTCTTAGTTGGAGTCATCCTTGTGGATCCCTGGAGATTTCCCTAGTGCCAGGATTTCTTGTTAAGCCCTTAATGGCTCCCTCTATCCAGATGTTTCTTTCCTTACTCTCCTTCTCTGTCCTTCCCCCAACTGGACCTTCCTCATCCCTCATGTTCTCCTCACAGCTCACCTTCTCTCCTCCTCTTTCTCCTACCACTCTCCCTCTTCCCCCATGCTCCCAATTTACTAAGGAGATCTTGTCCCTTTCCCCTTCTCCAGGGGGTCCATGTGTATCTCTCTTAGGGTCCTTCTTATTTCCTAGCTTCTCTGGATGTGTGGATTGTATGTAAGCTGGTTATCCTTTGCTCTATGTCTACTTAACCACTTATGAGTGAATACATAACATGTCTGTGCTTCTGTGTCTGAGTTACCTCACTCAGGATTGTTTCATCTACTTCCACCCAATTGCCTGCAAATTTCAAAATGTCATTGTTTTTTACCACTGAGTAGTACTCCATTGTATAAATGTACCACATTTTCTTTATCTATTCTTTTGTTGAGTGATATTTTGGCTGCTTCCGGGTTCTGGTTATTACAAATATTGCTGCTATGAACATAATTAAACAGATGTCATTGTGGTATGATTGTGCATCTTTTGAGTATATACCTAAAAATGGAATTGCTCGGTCTTGAGGTAGATCAATTCCCATTTTCCTTAGAAACTGCCAGACTGATTTCCAAAGTAGCTGTACAAGTTTGCATTCTCACCATCAGTGGAGGAGTGTTCCCCTTTCTCCACACCCTCTCCAGCATAAGTTGTCATTTGTGTTTTTGATCTTAGGCACTCTGACTGGTATAAGATGGTATCTCAGAGTTGATTTGATTTGCACTTCCTTGATGACTAACTAGGGGTATTGAGCAATTCCTTAAGTGCCTTTCAGCCATTTGAGATTCCTCTGTTGAGAATTCTCCACTTAGATCTGTGCCCCATTTTTTAATTGAATTTTTTTTTTTTTTTTTTTTTTTTTTGTTTTGGAGTCTGGTTTCTTGAGTTTGTCTATTTTGGAGATCAGCCCTCTCTCAGATGTGAGGTTGGTGAAGGCCTTTTCCCATTCTGTAGGCTGTCATTTTGTCTTGTTGACTGTGTCCTTTGCCTTATAGAAGCTTCATTTTTAAGAAATCAAAAATGAATACAAAAAAAGCAAGAATATAATGTTGCATGATTAAGAAATATTTTTTTAAGAAAATGGTGGAGATGATAAGTCTGGAGTTTGAAAACATCCTGTTTCTGAGAAAATACACACACATACTTTAAAGAATATCTTTGCATTAAATTTCCAGAATTCCCCCATATTAAAATAAATAAAAAAGTATCTCCCAATGAAAAATAGCCAAACACATAAGGAAGCAGTCTACCATGAACACAAGTCAAAAGAAACACCCTATTTAGTTTGTGAAATGCAGCAATATTGGAAAATTAAAGACAATATAAAAATAACAACCAATGAATGTTTAAAGGTAAAGAAAGAAACCAAGAAAAAGAGAACCCAGAAA